AGCTCTGCAAAAAAATATATATATATATTTCCTTTAAATATGGACCAAAAACAAAACAGGCAAAAAACAATACCCTAAAGAGCATTTCAAAATGGTGATATATGAATAAATAAAATCATTCCTCACTGGATTATCAAATGGGATTTGTCAAAATTGTTTCCACACTCCAGTGCCATGTACAGTCACACCTCAAGAGCTCCCTGAGGTAACCAAACTCAAAACACTGGTGGCTACTTGGGGTGATGGGGGAAGGGGGCAATGAGCTAGTCAAAAGCTGAAGGTGGTAAAAAAGAGGAAGTGTGAGGTAAAGGATGTGAACGATACTGACCTTGCTAATCTGGCTGTAGACCCGACCTCCACACGAAGGCTATAGGAACATGGAAACACTCAACACTGATACAGGGCTCAGAGCACGCACTCAAGGGGGACTTGAAGTGGAAAACAGGGTGGGGGGATCGGGGGGGGAGGGACCTTATCATGTCATCCAATACAATTTCATCTCTCAAAGGTATTTATTCCAACATGCAACTGAATTTTAATGATCTCTATTGAGAAAAAAATGCATATCATATACTAACTTACATATTACATGTAAAATTGTAGGGGGGGAAGGGAAATTTTACTGTAAATACTCTAAAATGGATTATGTAAAAATAATGTAATCTAAAATGCCATCCCCCTTGACTTCGGCAACAATGAAAAACAGCCACTATATATAAGAGCAACAGTGAGGCGGCTGCAAAGGAGGGCTTAAAGAACCCCAAAGGAGCAATAGCTTAGTAGGTAAGGCACAGCTAACATAAATATACTGTAAACACACAACAACCAACACCCATCATGGAGGGAAGGATCCATCCTCACCAAAAAATTGAGTGGAAGATTACTAAAGCTTTGAGGTGAACAATGTTCTTTAGTAATCATAAAAAAATATAAATATAAATAGTGTATCATTTGCATATCAATGATGAAAACCATTCCTTGATAATATATTTCTTTAGAGCTTGAGAGAACATCAAAATTCATAAATATTCTACCAATCAGCACTGGATGTACCCTTCCTCCTTTCTTTCCCTCCCTTTTTTTTCCTCTACCTTCAAGTTACTACACACTATTAAAGGCTAACAGCACCCTCAACATATGGGCTGATCATCAAAACTGTCCAGCCTTAACAATATAGCTACTTGGGGCACACATGTTCTATCCACAGCACTTCATGAAATTCATCTAGGCAAAATAACATCAGGTCTGCATTACCCTAAGATGTGTTAAAAAAGAAAGACAATAACACTGGTCTCTCTAACTTATGAGAACTTTACTACACTATATAGCTCAGGCAATGTGACCTCAAAAGGGATTAATGTATAGGATGGCTATCCATTCATTTCAAGATGCATGGTCTTCTTATGGAATTATGTTTATATAATCTGATTCAATGTCTCTATAATAAAAAAAAAGTTGATTTCAAGAGGTTGAAGACACTTTTAGCAACAGCTATAATTTTTAATGGACATACCATGCTCTGCTTGTAGAGAAAGTACAATTTTCATTTCTAGCTTTGTAAACTCTTCAGATTTACACAGAACTGAATATGATGATGAATTTCATAGCCAATTTGACATGGACAAACTGAGGAAAATATTTTTACATTTGTTTGCATATACTGTTCAAAAAAAAGCTAAAACATTATTCATGCCTCAAGCAGTCCTTAAAAGTCAAATGTCTACTTTTAGCTATGACAACAACTGATTTAAAAGATCTTAGGATAAAACTCTTATCCTTTTAAAAACTTCCTTCTGGGAGTTTTACTCACATATTAACCATTTAGCTACAATCATTTAGACATCATTCATTTAGAGAACATTCCTAATGATAAAATTCTGTTCAAGAATCCATGAAGACTGGAGGCTGATCTCGTGCTGCAAATGGAGGTTTTAATAGAACTAGTGTACTGAAGGTGTTTAGGGAGGATGTACTGTATACGAGTAGGAAAAGTTGTGCTGAAGGTGAGAGATTATTTCTTATATTTCACTGCACCTATTGCCATTTTTTTCTTCATCTTAGAACTCTTTACAATTAATGTCATTGGTTCGAATAACATCATATAATGCCATATTCTAGTGTGTGTGAGTGTGAATGTATATGTGTGCATATGTGTATGTGTATGTGCATGCATATCTGCGTGAGTGTGAGTGAGTGAGTGAGTGAGTAAGTGAGTGTGTGTGTGTGTGTGTGTGTGTGTGTGTGTGTGTGTGTGTGTGTGTGTGTGTGTGTGTGTGTGTGTGTGTGTGTGTGTGTGTGTGTGTGTGTGTGAGTGTGTGTGTGTGTGAACTTATAAGTGTCTGTTAATAAGTGTGTATGTTTATGAGTGAATGTGCATATGTATATACAAGTGTGCTTGCATGTGTGTGGATGTAAATATGAAGTGAATGTGAAGCGTCATTGTCAGTGAGTGAACATTCATGTGCATCTTCATGTGTGTCTAATTATATATATATATATATGTATATATATATATATATATATATATATATATATATATATATATATATATATATATATATATATATATATATATATATATATATACATATGTATATATATATGTATATATATATATATATATATATATATATATATATATATATATATATATATATATATATATATATATATATATACATATATATATATATATATATATATATATATATATATATATATATATATATATATATATATATATATATATATATATATATATATATATATATATACATATATATATATATATATATATATATATATATATATATATATATATATATATATATATATATATATATATATATATATATATATATATATATATATATTATATATATATATATATATATGTATATATATATGATATATATATATATGTATATATATATATGTATATATATATATATATATATATATATATATATATATATATATATATATATATATATATATATATATATATATATATATATATATATACATATACATATATATATATATATATATATATATATATATATATATATATATATATATATATATATATATATATATGTCTTTTCCTTCTATCCTTTTCTTTTTTAGGGTATGTTGTATGCCCTACCGGGAAAAGGAAGAGAAAGACACACTAGCGTAAGACAAAAACAGTATGCTAACTCTCAGTAAAATACAAACCCTTCTTGAACTACTTGCCACATGCTTTTATCACATCCCTTGTAAGTGCTGGTTTTCTTGCAAAACTTGTCTTCTCTCACCTAAAGCAGAAATAAGTTGCACTATACAGAATCTTAATATTAAACAACTTTACAAAAGACAGGAAAATTGGTATTTACCGATATTTCAAGCTCGTTGTTGAGGTCAGGTTCATCCTCGCTGAAGACTGCAGAAGCCAGAGGGCAGAACAGGCTTAGTCAACACAACACCCCGGTACATTTTTTAATATTTTAGCGCATGGAAATAAAAGAGCTAACCATCTATCAAACTTTGAAATAAAAAAAGCATTTGTCAATTACAAAGACCAGTAACTATTAATCCTTTGAAAAAAATTCACTCTCCTAAGCTACTCAATGCATTCTAGTGAATGAAAACAACAACAACAAAAATTGTTGACAGAAGAGTGAATGAACACAACTCCTGGGAGTAAATATCAGAGTTATACAGAAGAGTGTGAGTCACAGTTATGGCTTGAGAGATACTGACACATGGGCTTGAGCTGACTAATGAGCTCTTCCTTGGTCCACTCCTTCTTGTCAGCCCACAGTGAAATGCTTGAGGCCATGACCAACTTGTTGTCATCTGGGTACGGTACGTTCAGGTAGTGTACCAGGACAATGTCTGGGTTCTGTAAAAGGGCACTGATGTTAACAATGGTGTCTAGATCAGTTGCTCACATATTTTTTTCCCATTCGCAACACTCTTTCTACAATATTGGTTGTTTTTCTCTAATGGGGAAAAAATGGACTTCAAAATACAATAACTGTTCAGTTTTTTTTCTCATTAGGAAGATTTCCCTTTCCTTTAGATTCAATATTAGCATCATATACAAAACACACAAAATGACACTAGCAGTTAACATAATGTTTATATAATAATTTTCCAAAAAACAAACAAACCCAGAGCCTGAAAGAATGAAAAGTAAGTAATACAAAGCAGTTCAAATGTTCCCAAATGCAGTCTAGTATATCTATGTGACCACAGTTAAATTCCTTTGTCCTATGTGTTCATTAACTTCATAACATACTAGTAACATCAGCGTAAATGAACTTCCTAAACTTCAGTATATTTTTAAAATAAAATCTGTTAGTCTCATCTGATGTGTGGTAAAGACACAAATAACTGTAATCATCACAAATACAGATCTTATATTGAAGTAAAATCTGATATTAGCTAATATGAACTGTCTGAATGCAAAACCAAGAAAAAAGCATATGGTCTTAATTGCATTCATAACAATAACAACTGAAATATATGCAAAATATCATTAATATGTGGTGTTCTATGTTGCATACAATAAAATATGCAGGGCTTTAAGTGCAGTATGGAAAATGAGGAAACAAGAAAAAAAAACAAAAATAAAATAAAAATGAGTAATGAGAGCTGGTGAGATGTAGAACTGGACAATTGGGGGGGGGGGGGGGGTAATGCATAAAACATGTTGTGACTCGAAATATATGTGGTAATTATCTTCTTTTAAGGAACAGTTAAGATAAGAATTTCAGAAAATAAGGTCAAAGACTTTGACATTGTGAGCGCATATTCATCAGTTGACTTATGTAGGGAAAAAAGGAAAATAAGAATAATGAAGAAGGAACTATACTAAGTGTAACTATATGTCCGTAGAAATACAATGGCACCCAGCATACCATCGTGAAATTGGCACTGACCTGCAACAACCAGTAGCATCGTCGATGAAACGTTGGGAGGATTGCAGAGTGCACGTAACAGCCGTAAATGCACTGAAAAAAATAGACAGGAATATAAAAAAAACTGACATACATTCCTAAGACGAAGAAGCTGAATCTTTTCTACATGAAATTATATAAAAAAATGGATTACTTGATTAATGACTGTCTTAATCTTGTGCATCTACAGTCATCATTATATTACAGTACGAATTAGAGACTAAAGACTTCAAAATCACTGAATATTCGATTTTACCGCTGGAAGAAAGGAAGATATTAATATGTCCGTGATATCCTCCCTCCCTCCCTCCCTCCCTCCTCTCTCTCTCTCTCTCTCTCTCTCTCTCTCTCTCTCTCTCTCTCTCTCTCTCTCTCTCTCTCTCTCTCTCTCTCTCTCTCTCCCTCTCCTTCTCCCATGACAAATGGTCCTTACCGAAATCGACCAGGTTTTGTCCAATTAAAAGCCGATTATGATGCTGATGATGTAACTTCCCGCCGCTGAAAATGGAGATGCGATTATAACACGCGAGTGACTTGGATCCGCCATCTTCCCTTCCTACTTCCCGGCCCGCAAACTTTGCCATGGCAGTTGTCGGACAAGTTGCACTCCTCTTTAAATATCTTCGGATTGTTCACTCCGTTCCCTTCGACTAACTCAAAACAATCAAACAAACAAACAAAAACACACACACACCCGTCCTTGCAAGACATCGGCATCTTCATTAACGCAACATTAATTGTCCAAAATGAGATTTAGAAGGAACAGCGCGCGGGAGAGAGAATTCCTCTTGTGTCTTGCTCTCTAACAGCGACTCTGAGGAGGCGAACGAGGGCAGTTGTGAAAGCTGCACATCACCCTCCTGACATCTCCACTAATTAGCAGAAAATTATTAACTCATTAGCGGAAAATCACGCCTACTTCCATTACAATCACAGGGTCTCCTGGAATTATGTGTGAGAGTTCGAAATTACCATAACACTAATCTCCGAATACATTATCGTGAGTGAGTGCGTCAGTCTTAAATGTCAAATCTGCCCTGTTATTTACTTCGGCTTTTTGTAAAAAAACAAAAATAAAAAACTTGAATGGAAAGGCAGAAAATATGAAAAATGGGGGCAGTTACGAATAATATCATTTGTTTTTGCACATCTTATTTGAAAACACTGACAACTTACGCGATTATTAGTCCGTCGCTCTCCCCATATTCGCAATAAACATGAAAAGGGGAAACCTATAACAGTAACAACAAAAATAACAAAACAAAAACAACAACAGCAGCAAAAACCAGCGACATCAATAAATACCGTCCATTTTTTCCTCGCAATGGTCGCCCCGCCTTCATATTTCCCGCTGAACAAATGTGAACGATTTTCCGATCACTCGCGCATTCAGTTGACATCATCACTTCCGGACCAATGAAATAGGTCGCCAGTCTCATTCCATTCCCTTGTTTGTTTACTAAAAAGGATGGGCTCTTTGGGAAAATCTGAACGCGAGTGTCACTATTCCAGATTTTGAAATAAGTAATGAACTGGCTGGATGAACCCGTACCCTGGGCAGTGTATACATTTTTCATGTTTAATGTAAAAGGCTTAAATTATTCATCGTCCAGATAAAAAAATCCTTTGGAAGCATAAAGGGAAGTATATTTAGACTCATAATATTTCACGGGAACACAGCTGCTACGCACAATGGACTTTCTCTCTCTCACTCACTCACTCTCTCTCTCTCTCTCTCTCTCTCTCTCTCTCTCTCTCTCTCTCTCTCTCTCTCTCTCTCTCTCTCTCTCTCTCTCTCTCTCTCTCTCTATCTCTCTCTCTCTATCTCTCTCTCTCTATCTCTCTCTCTCTATCTCTCTCTATCTCTCTCTTTCTATCTCTCTCTATCTCTCTCTTCTATCTCTCTCTTTCTATCTCTCTCTCTCTCTCTCTCTTCTCTCTCTCTCTCTCTTCTATCTCTCTCTCTCTCTCTCTCTTCTATCTCTCTCTCTCTCTCTTCTATCTCTCTCTCTCTCTCTTTCTATCTCTCTCTCTCTCTCTCTTTCTATCTCTCTCTCTCTCTCTCTTTCTATCTCTCTCTCTCTCTCTCTTTCTATCTCTCTCTCTCTCTCTTTCTATCTCTCTCTCTCTCTCTCTTTCTATCTCTCTCTCTCTCTCTTTCTATCTCTCTCTCTCTCTCTTTCTCTCCCCCTCTCATTCTTTCCTTCCCCCACTCTCAAACCTCCCCCCCTCTCTCCCCTCTCTCTTCCTCTTCCTCTCCCTCTCCCCTCTCTCCCTCTCCCCTCTCTCTCTCCCCCTCTCTTTCCCTCTCCCTCTCTCCTCTCTCTCTCTCTCTCTTCCTCTCCCTCTCCCCTATCTCTCCCTCTCTCCTCCCTCTATCTCTCCCTCTCCCTCTCCCACAGAAACACACCCTTATCCCCAAAATGCACTTATATAAGCGTACACGGACTTCCGGAAACACATAAAAAGTGTGAAAAATGAAGACGGATGCTCCCAAGTGGTGAATGGGTGGGCGGAAGGGCAGGATGGAAGGCGGACACGGGGGGTGGGGGGGGGGCGACTAAAAAGGGCGAGGGAGAGCAGGCAGGGGGGGGAGGATTGTCTTCTTCTCCCCTAACGAGTGCTTGGAGGCCCAGATATACTTTACCTTCGGTCTTTTGTCCCGCTCGACAAAGGCACTCATTCACATACATGTAGTTATTCACACATACATACATACATACACACTAACATATAATCCGTATGTATACATGTACATATACATACATAAATTACATATGTATACACAAACATTGACACAGACACACATATTTTGTGTGTGTGTGTGTATGTGTGTGTGTGTAATATATGTATGTATGTATATGTATGTATAAATGAGTAAATATAGGTATACATATGTGGACACACACACACACACACACACACACACACACACACACACACACACACACACACACACACACACACACACACACACACACACACACACACACAAAATCGCGCGCGCACACACACAAAGAAAGAAAGATTTCAATAATTACCAATTCATGACCAAACTGCATTTATGCAGGGCCGGTGCACACAGAAACTAAAAGATTAAATATCCGCTATGAAACATGCAAAAATAAATAAAATGCCTGGAACGCATAAAGGCCGTCATATAAAAAAGAACAAAATTACTCAGGAACACCAAAGTCTCACTCAATAACCAGCCGGAGTAATGAAACGTGGCGACCCGTCTCCGTAGAGTTTACAATCCACGCCAAGAATCCCCGCTCAATACAACGCAAATTCCTTTACGGTCCCCACGATGTTCTTAGACAACCGACGGTCTCATTATATAGAAACCAACAGGTCTACGCACACGCCAGCCGGGATCAGGTAGCGCACCTTATTCACACACGTCGTCAGCGAGATATTTGCTTTCCTGTGTGATCGCCTTCTGTCACGGGAAATCACCTGCAGCTCTGTGATTGAGAAAATAGGATTTGTGTAGCCGGCGTGCGTGCTGACCCTGGGATCAAAAATAGACTCGTTTAGCGTAGGCCAGCGGTTCAAAGGAGGGAAGGGGAATGGGACATCGACGGAGAACGGAGTCGGCGCCTGCAGTACGGGGAAGAGAGGGAGCTGGAAGAACGACTAAATAAATGCGAGACAAGTAAGAGGGTGTTCAGGTTTGGCGTTCTCTCTTTCTCTCTTTTCTTTCTTTAGTTCTTTCTTTCTCACTCTTTCTCTCTCTGTCTCGTTTTCTCATTCTCTCTTTATCTCTCTCTGTCTCGTTTTCTCATTCTCTCTTTATCTCTCTCTCTCTCTCTCACTCTCTCTCTCTCTCTCTCTCTCTCTCTCTCTCTCTCTCTCTCTCTCTCTCTCTCTCTCTCATTCTTATTTTTTCCTTTCTCTCTCTATCCCACTCTCATTCCCCCACGAAATCTGATAAATCTGTTCTTTTGTATCATTTCAAAAAACGCGGCGGGCCATTTGCTTATCAGTTAATCTTCCCGAACAAGGCTCCCCAGACTCCTTTACTCACCGAAGGACACTCTTATCGTAGACAGATTTGGCATTATTAAAGACTATTTATTCGTCGGACATGTTTAATAATGCAGGACAAAAGAAAAAAAAAATAACGTGTCTACATTTTTATCCTTCTCGAAAATGAACGCCTTGGCTTGTGCGCTTCTTGATTTCGACCCGACTGCTGGCCTTTGCTCTTTCTCTGTCTGTCTGTCTGTCTCTTTTTCAAACACACACACACACACACACACACACACACACACACACACACACACACACACAATCAAATAAATAGAAAAACAGAGATTCAAAGATATAAGAAAGTACGATACAAAAGGGGGGGGGGGGGGTAACGGCAAAGAGAAAGACACATAATTCAAGATACAAAACAATGGAAAGAGAGAAAAGAAATAAGAACCAAGTTACGAAAAGGGGAATAATGGCAGAAAGTGATGATTTTTTGAAGGAAGGACACAAAAAGAAAATAAGATACTAAAAAAAGGAAATAAAGATGGATAAAGGCAGAGCATGACGCAGAAAAAAACAAGGATATATAGGAAGAAAAGCAGATATGGAAGACAGAAAGAGTGGAAGACACAAAAAGGCGCATTAAGATATGAAAAAAAAGAAAAAGAAGAAAAAGAAAAGAGGGAAAAATTGCAAATCAGAGAGAGAAGGATAAAAGCTACACCAAAGAGAAAAAAGTGAAAGAAAGCCACAGGCAGAAAGAATAGTAGAGAGAGAGAGAGACAGAGAAAAAACGGCTTGAGGATTATGTACATAAGCCGGTGCTGGCAGAGGATGCAACTGCCGCCCCCTCGATGCGAAAGGGAGTGAAAGAAGAGGAAGGGAAGGAAGATGGAGAGGATTACAAAAAAGAAAATGGAAGAAAAAAGGAGAACGTGAGGAAGAAAAAAAATGAAAGGCTGTGTATTTTCCTCGCTTCTATATCTTTTTTTTCTTCTTAATCAATAGACGGACGGAAGGAAAGGAGGAAAGGGAAGGAAATGACGAACATGGCGATGACAAACAAAATCAAG